GTGTGTGTGTGTGTGTGTGGTGTGTGTGTCCCCCCCCCAGGAAGTGGCACAGGGACAAACACACTAAGAGGAATGCGGAATGCTCTCCCTGCACACTCCAGCTCCGGCAGGAACCACATCTGCATCTCGAGTCAGTGACTTAGGTCCCCAGGATAGGATGGGGTTTCCTTGTTACTGAAGAATTTCAAACAGCAGAGTTTGTCGCAACATGAGACGGTGGGGCCCCAAGTTTCTCTGAAGCAGTTGTGGGACACTCAGAAGGGGCTTGCTGCCAAGATCCGTCCCATGCTGCCACTCCAGCCCCACTGACAGCCAAGACTTTGCTTTCTTACGCAGAGCTCGTGTTTGCTTTCTCACATGCAGTCCACTCACGCCAGCATCCTCCGTGTCCAAGGAGGAAAGGGACACGGCTCTGTGACAGCTGGCCCGCCTGCGCTCTCCTCTGGGGACCCGCATCTTTGCGCTCTGCTCCTCCTGCGTCCGCTTTCCCCTCTGCAGCTCCCGGTGCCTCCGCTGAGTCCCAGTTCAGCAGGGGGCAGTGGCACTCCGAGTGGCCGCATGCCTCCTCTTTCGCCTGCGTTCAGGTCACACAGACTCTCTAGTCCTCAAAAAGCATGAAGGCCAGAGTCCCTTCAGGTCATTTACATGTACTGTTCCCTCTACCATGAAAGATGTTTGGGTGCCTGGCTCTTACCGTTCACAGTGGAGGAGTCACCTTAGATGTCACCTCTTGGCCTGACCACATCACCCATTGCTGTTCATGCACCCAACCACTCCTCTTTTTTTCTGGGTGTGCATCCCACCCAGGTCAGAAAGCTGGGGCCTGGAGAATCTGTCTGGCCATACATGGGTTTGGCACAGCTGCCCACCCCCACGGCTCCCACTCATACTTCATCACTCACCTCGGACAGTGGCTGCACTTTCAGCCAGGTGTCCGGAGTCCCATTTGGGTTCTTGGGCGTTCCTGCTGCAGCTCCTGGCTAACCTTAGAAACCTACCCTTACACTTTCTGGTTGAAGGGCCCGAAGCAGATCTAAGAACCTCATTTTTAGACCTCAGGGCCTGGGGATGCGCTTCAGAGCAGGAGGCAGGGCCCTCGGCCTCCACACTCCCCTTCACTGGCCTCCTGACCCCAGCCCACAGGTCAGGGGACCTGGAGTCGAGGCCACATCATTCTTTCCAGAGGATCTGAAGCCACTCAGAATTGCAGGCAGGGTTTAGAGCAGGACACCATTAGAGAGCTGGCCTGAAGCAACACCAAAGGGGCCTCATCAACCCAGACCCGACTGTGAGCCACTGCCTGGCAGCGACAGGGCAGACCTTGCTGCCCCAACCTGTCCCTGCCCCAGCGTCTCAGCTGGGGGCAGGGGCTGGGCTGAATACACCGTACACCCTTGGCAGTGGAGGTTGGCAGGAGGGGCGAGGCTGCAGATGGACAGGCTGCTGAGGTGGGAGAGGTACCCTCTCCCAGCTCCACCCCATGCTTCCAGGAGTGGATACTGGACATACGGTTCGATAGGACAAGGTTCTAAAGGTCTGGGTGCTTCTTACTAAATGCTATTCTTTTCTTCCCCCCATTGATTTTTAGAGAGTGGAAGGGAGGGAAAGGGAGAGAGAAAGAGAGAGATATAGATGCGAGACGGACACATCAATTGGTTGGCTCCTGCCCTCGCCCCAATGGGGGATTGAACCTGCAACCCAGGTTTGTGCCCTTGACCAGGGCTTGGACCCATGACCCTTCAGTAAGTGGGCAGACACCACTGACTGAGCCACAGCGGCCAGACTTCTTTTTAAGTATATGAGAGGAAGATAGAGAAACATCAATGATGAGAGTCATTGATCGGCTGCCTCCTACATGTCCCCCACTGGGGATCAAGCCCACAACCCAGGCATGTGCCCCGACAGGGAATTGAACTGCCATCTCCTGGATCATAGTTCGATGCTCAACCCCTGAGCCATGCTGGCCGGGCTAAGTGCTATTCTTGCTAAGTGCTAAAATACTTTGCAGAAGCAGCTGTGAACAAGATGAGCTTGACAGGAACTCAACTGGTTAAATGTAGCCAACTGCAAAGAAGAAATCAACATGTAACTGACCAAATAGTGTATGTAAGCAATGGCTAAGCCTCCCTTCAGAGACAAAGCTTTGGATGTGAGTCCCTGGTCTCCTTTATTTGCTGCAAGTAAATAAAACTACCTAATGATAGCCACATGTCATTCTTGAATAGAGCACCCCAAGTGTTGAACCCTCCTTGAGTTCGGTAACAACAGTGAGGGAGCTAGATTTGCATGGATGGTTTTGTTTCTAAAAGGCACTATGTGGGCTTCTTGGGATGTAGCTCACAGGGGGGATATTACCTAGGGAGAGGGCAGAGTCCATGGACTGGTCTGAGCATAATACAGGGTTTTACTGGAGTGGGTCAATGAAGGAATTGTTGCATTTCCTGGGCTGTGTGAGCAATAGAGAGCATTCACTGAGTGAGGTGTGTCTTAGTGGAGGGAGAGCCACTGGGGATCACTCTAGGTTACAGGATGTCATGGGTACCTGGCTCATTGGGACTTCTCGGTCTCTAGGCAAGGAGTGGAAATTATAAGGTCCTTTGATATAATATTAAGGTGTCTCAAATGGTGCATGGATCAAAGGAGTGCAAGGGGGTAGGAGATCAATTATCAGGAGGTTCTTAAAGTGGGGGGCATGGAGTAGGTCTTAGGACAGACATTTCACAAGAAGCATTAGCAGTCCACCCTGCTGAGGGTCTGGGTTTTCCTGAGCAAGATGTCAGAGTTCCTGCCTAGCCTGCCCAGCCCCACAGAAGGTTACGAGACCAGGGGAGGAGTGAGACCAGTTTAATTTAGAAATAAGCTTTGCATAGCCTCCTGATCAGAAGGGAGCCTAAGAGCCAACTCTTAGAGAGAAAGGCCCCCAAGTGGGGAGGGCACAGCATGGGAGCTGGCACTGGTAGTTCCATGAAGCTGGTCCGGTGCTCAGCAGGTCCGCAGGGCCTGTGGAAAGAATGTGAGTCAGGTCCTCACAAGCACCGTTACTACACAGACACCCCCCTCAGCCTTGGGCAACCCCAAGGCTTTGCTGGCTCAGGACAGCCCCGCCTTACACACAGCATATCCTTTTTTAACTCTCAAATTATATGGTCACCCTGAGTGCCTGGAAGCCTCTCAAAGAAGCCCGTCTCACCTGAAGTGATGAGTGGAACAGCTTTCTCAGTAAGGGGCTAAGGAAGGAACACATCCGATTAGCATTCTTGGACCTCTGTCCTCTACCAAGACTCCTGGAGCCCCCTCCCCAGAGGGTCCCCAACTGCCCCCTTGCTATTCTTCCACTGTCATTTTAAGTGATACCAGAGGTCAGAGCTTTCTCTGACTTGGGGCCCCTTCAGGGTTGATCATCTGTGAATAATCCCACCGGAAGCCCAGGGAGCAGCCAAGAAACTCCTCTTTCTCCGCTTGTAGGACTTTACCCCAAAACAGTCTGCTCAGCTTGAGGTTCACACACAGGGGCCCTGTCTCACCTCTACTTCTGATTGTGCTTGCATTTGCATTTGCCACCTGTGAGAGGGAAAGACATCCATGCCAAGAGCCTGGGGACCCAGGCCACCCCTCTTCCCGCATGCCCTCCCTCACCCCCCATCCCGCCAGCCCCACAGCTCACTGAGGGCGAACAAGACTCCAGCGATGCACAGGAGCCCTGCGCAGATCATCCCGCCCAGCTGCAGGCCTTCCCAGTCTAGGCGAGTGGAGAGTGAGCTGGCGCCGGCCTGGCTCCCCCCCAGCACTCGTTCAAAAGGCATGTGTGAGCACCTGCTCGAGCAGTTGCCCTCACATTCCAGGCAGAGAGGAAAACAAGCCAGCAAATAGATACACAGCACAGTATCTGGTGGGAGCGAGTGCCAGGAAGACAAGTGCCAGAAGAGCCCAGAAAAAGAAGGGGGTTTAAAGGATGGTGTCAGGAAGGCTTTTTAGAAAGGTGGCGTTTGATCTGAATAAGAGGGAAGCTCAGGGGCATGTGGGGACATTGGAGGACAGTGCAGACCTGCTTGGGGGTGGGGCGCTGTAGGGCTGCAAGGAACCGGGTGCTGGGGAAGGCAGGTGAGAGTGAGGGGAAGGAAGAAGGTTGGTGTGAGATACCTGGCGACCGAGCAGCCCTTGCCTCCAGCTGATTCCCCAGAAGTCTTCCTAAATATGATAGGTGCCTTCCTTCCTTGCTGGAAGGAGGCTCTTTCAAAGACCAGGTTGCATGTTGGCCTTACGTTCTTTTAATTGAGCACACTGGCTCTTTAATCTCCAGTCCCAGCCCCATCCTGGCCCTCCTTCCTCAGCCCCTCAAGCCCCACAATGTCTGCATTGGGCTCCACATCACCCCTCACCAACCTGTAGCCAAAAGGTCCAGGACAGGCAAGGGAAGGGGTGGGGGTGGGGAATATCAGCTCTTACCATAGTAGAAGGAACTGTCTTTATCTGCAGGAAGGAAACAAGTAAGGACCAAAACTAGGAGGCAGGATGTGGGGTCTTAGAAGGAAAATGTGGCACAGCAGGAGCAGTTTGTTGGGGGCCTCACTCACCAAACAGGTCATTGGCTTCCAAGGCAGGCAGGCCTGGGTGGGAGAAGCAGAGATATTGCGTGATCATTGGAGACAGCAGGCAGACCTCAGCCCAAAGGGCAAGGACCGCCAGCCTCACTGGGAGGCACCCTGGGGCCGGTTCCCTTCCTCAGGCCTTCCCCAGCCCCAGGCAGTACCGCTGGGATTGTCTTCGGCCCCCTGGCCTTGGGCCCCTCGCTCACAGCCTCGCTGCTATTTCTCACGCTTCCTGCTCTTCTTTCTTGCACTCAGAGTGGATGGTGTGTCTGCATCTCTTCGCCCTCTCCTGAGAAGCTTCCTATGGACAGACCCTAGCTAACCCTCTTCTTCCTGAGGAAACGGGGATGCTCCCCCCTTCATACCAACAGATGGTTACAGGTTTCCTGAGTTAAATTACCCAGGATAACTTTTGCAATATCTGCTTCTTCCCTGTACTATTATTTCCTGTACTATGATTTCCCTTTAAACTGACGGTGTAAATAAGAATACTTTCCTTCGACATCAGGCCCCCTCTGAGAGATGCTGCCCTGGTCTTCACTGCCTTAGCGGGCATGTGAGTGGCAGCAGGGTCACCTCTAGGAGGACTCACCTGCCAGCGTGAAGAGAAGGCCCCAGGTCACTCCCTCCATGTCACAGTGGCAGAGCAGGGCTGTAGAAGAGGGGGTCAGGCTGGAGTCAGGCAGCCATGCCTGCTTGGAGGGAAAGCAAACGCCCAAATCTCAAGGGTGCATTTGCTTATGGGGCTGTCTTGGGAAAGTTACTAACTCCTGTTTCCTCATTAGAGATGACAATAGCAGTGGACGGCAGGAGCTGTTTGCTTGGGGAGTGACACGGATTGATTAGTACTCGTTAAGCGCTCAGAACAGTGCCTTTGCGTACTAAGTGCCTACAGGCTTTGTTAAAATCTGTCAGACGCCTGCCCCAAGGTCAGGTGAACAGGGCTGCTGTTCTAACCCAGGCTTATTTTTTTTTAATTCGATTTTTTTTTCAATTACAGTTTACATTCAATATTATTTGTATTCTTTTCAGGTGTAACTAACTCAGGATTTGATGCCTGCCTTCCTAACCCCACAAGAAGGGCAAGGTTGTCAGCCCTGGGCTATTGTTCCCAAAGGTGTGGGCCTGGGGCACTATCAGGCTGAATTCCGAAGTAGTTCCACAAAGGGCGCAGCCAGGCCTGAGTGGAGCAGAGCAGCCAGCGGCCTAGCAGGGAAGTGGGAGGACTGCTGGCAGGAGACAGAGAGCCTCCCACCCCAGCCTCCGCCGGGACCCTGCTCCGGGCCACCCCCAATTCCACTCTCAGAGTATGACTACTATTGGCAGGAAACTCCTTGGTGGGCGGGGCATCGCTCCTTTCTTTTTTCTCCGTAGGGTGTGAGCTAGTCCCTGGGGTGGCTGTACCCTGGAGATAAGGCCCTTCCCAGCTTTCAGCATTTTGTTAGCCGCTCGGAGGTTTAGGGATTGTTGGTGTTCCATATTGAAACCATTGTTATTGTTTGGTGGGGCCCAGCGGGAGGGAATCCTAATCTACTCTCAGCCACTTAACAGCTGTGTGACTCAGCGAGTTACTTAACCTCTCTGTGTTTCTTCTGTAAAATGAGGACAATTATTATAGCAACTTCATAGGGTTATGATTGAATTAAATAAGTAAATATGTGAAGCCTAAGAACAGTGCCTAGCACACAGTAAGTACAAAAACGTAATACATACATAAATACCGAGGTCTTACTGCCATAGAAGGAAGGGCCTGTTACAAGCTGCTTCTGAAGGTAGGGGCATGTCCTCTGAGCAGTCTATGAAGCTGGCTCTCCTTTAGACTAGCCTGCCTTTCTACTCCTTTCATGATCCTGGAATTCCTGGGTCATGAGGGTTGCAACTCCATTTTATATATTCTTTAGTCAAAGGCTGGCTCCTGTTTACACCAGCCCCCAACCCACCATCCATCTGACAATGGTCACAGAATAGACACCCTCCAATTCTCAAACTCCAAACACATACCCAGTTACCAAGAACACCCAGGCATCACCACCCCTTCCTCAGGCTGGTACTCTGGGCCATCCCTCTGCCCTCACCCCTCCACCTAGCGCCTGAGGTCCCAGTAGTCGCCCCCTCACCTGAGAGCCTTTTCTCTGAGCTCAGCTGAGAGCAGGGTGCACCGGGCAGGTCTGAGGAGGCTGCTGGGCTGTGTTCAGCTCAGTGGGTTCCAGCTCTTTAAACCCAGCAGCCTCGCCCTGGGCAACAATACCTTCAGACAGGAGGGAACTGGTCAGACTCTGTAGGACTCCTGCAGCTCCCCCACCCCTACCCCCACCCCCATTTGCTTTTAAGGAGATGGCTAGCCCTGCCACACCCAGGGCAGGGCAGAGCTCCTGGGGCCCCAGGGCCAACTCAGACACTGAGGTGGTGGTGGGGGAGAGGGGTGAGCAGAACCTCAGACCCTTCTCTTGAGAAGGGGACTTTCAGCTTCTTCTGCTCACCTAGATCCTAAAAGAGGGGCCCTGAGGTGTGCTGGAGGGGACAGGTGTTTCTGAGTTCTTGTGCCAGCAGAGGGGGTTCAGGACTTCTGTGCGGGGGTATCCTAGGGACAGGTAAGTTGACATGGAGTCAGGGACTGGCCTTGAAGTTCCATTTGCTTAATGGCCCCATTGCTTTTCCTTGGACTGGGTGTTCATCAAGGGCAGGGGCTGGCGCTGATGGGCACCCCTCAGGATCATCCACCCTTTGACAGGCCCTGACACCCACTTAACCCAGGGACACTGACAGCTGGAATTCCGAAAGCACCCGGCCCCAGCCCTGGTTCCTCCCCTACCGCAGGGGATGGGTGGAGGGGGACCGCCAGCTCCAGGATAAGGACTGGGCTGCCTTCCTTTGCGGAGCCCGTGCCTGCCTCGTGCTGCTGGCCAACTCTCCCCCTGCCTCTCATTCCTCCACATACCTTTAGCCTGTGCTTTCGGCCCTGGATGACCCCGGGCCTCTATTCTGCAGTCTCCTTTCCCCAGTTTCTCTCTGGTCACTGCTTTTCCCACTGCATGGTAACCAGCTGAAGGCAGGGAAGTTGCCTCCCTTGTTTTCAATGCCCAGCTATGGACACCAATAAATAGACTTCGATTGGGTTGTCATTGGAGGAGGTAATCAAGAGGATGTGACTGTCAGTTGACCCTCGAGCTGGACCCAGGCAATCAAAGGCTCCTCACCTCACCCCCTGTTCTTGAAATGTACGCTCTGCCCACTGACTGCACAGTGAGAACTGTTCCAAGGACATAGCCTTGTGTGTTTTGTACTGAGCTCAGCTTGTCAATAACCAGTGTTGTGGCTGGACCGGCCCTTGTGGTTCTTATTATGATTGCAAGATGTCCTTCAGTAATAAGCACCAAAAAACTCTGAAAAAAATAAAGGGTTATTACTCACAGAACCTGGAAATCACACAGCACACCTGGGACCACTCATGAGGTTGTAGCGTGCTTGAGAGCACATGGAACTGGGGTTATGCAGTTATTGGGGTTGGGGGTGGGAGCCTAGGGTTTCATGGGCTCACACTTTATTGGTGGATTTAAAACATTAGAGCAGGGATTTAAAGTCCCGGAACAGAAAGAAAAACAAGTAGCCCTAGTGGCCAGTTATGGAAATCAAATTTCTAAAGCAAAGAAGCCTCAGTGGGGTGAGATGGCCTGGCTCTTTATCTAGCCTTTACCTGCCTCTTTATCTATATGACTGCAATATGTTTATTTGCGATAGCCCTCTTTGAAATGGATACCTCATACCTGGACAATCAAAGCTTAAGTCAGATACTTGCATTACAAAAAGATAAATAAAATACTGTCAGGGTTAATACCAAACCTTGAGAGAGTAAGGTGGTGTTGAGAACATCCGGACTGTGTATGACTGAATCCAGTTAAGGCCTCTATATAAACTTTTAAGTTTCTAGTGGGGAGATCCTCACAAGCCTTGTCAGTAAGGTCCCTTGCTTATGAAACCCGCTACCTACCTATCTGGAGTGGCCTGCCTCTTTCTCCTGTCTTTTCCTGCCTGCCCCTCCATGTAGGGGGCCAATTTGTGAACCAATGATTATTGAGTCAGTGAGGACAAGAATCCATCAGATAGATACTCCCAGTGGTGGGGGGCAGGGGACAGACAGGCCAAGGCCTGGGGGCAGGAAGAATTCAGGTGAGTAGGAAGGGAAAGGGCTTTCCTAGTGCAAACATGTTACATCTCATGAAAATGTTCCATGGTGTTTCGATTTCAAGATTCAGCTTCTGCATAGCGTTTGAATGGAGGTTCTGAGGCCAGAAAGAGCTGGATTTGCAGCCCAGCTCTGCCAATTGCTTTCTGGGTGATCTCAAGTTACTTCATTGCGAGCATCATTTAATTCCCTCTTCCTTAAAATGGAGAAATGACAGGTTTTACCTGTGAAGTTTGGGGTGGAGGTGCTGCAGGGGCTCAGGGCCACCCCTTGTCAGCCCTCAGTACGTACTTGAGGAATGAATGCCTCTCAGGCCTGGTGTGTGGAAAGTTTGAAGGTTCAGAAGAAACATTAATAGCCACATAGTTTGGAGTCAAATGCAGGCTCTGTTAGTTACTTGCTATGTGCACTTGAGCAACTGACTTACCTGTTTACTTATCTATAAAATGAGAACCATATCTCCTTTGCCTACTTTGAATGTTTACGGTACAATGACATCTGATTACGCTGCTCAGTTCACAGGAGCTGTTACTGCAGTTGGGCATGGCCCCGATACACACATGGAGAGATCTGCAGCATGAGAGAAAGGGGCTCATCGTTAGAGAGACCCCCATGGGAAAACTGCTCAAGGTCACACTTTGGGGGCTCAGCCAAAGTTTCTAGACTCCTCAGTTGAGTTTTCCTGCCCTATCAAGCTACAGTGGGAAATAATTAGCAAGAAAGCAGGAATTTGTAGGAAGGGGACCTTTTTAAAAAATACATGTTTTTATTGATTTCAGAGAGGAGAGGAAGAGAGGTAGAAACATCAATGATGAGAGAGTCACTGATCAGCTGCCTCCCGCATGCCCCCTACTAGGGACAGAGCCGGCAACCCAGGCATGTGTGGAATCAAAGCGTGACCTCCTGGTTCATGGGTCAATGCTCAACCACCGAGCAACACTGGCCAGGCAGGAAGGGGACCCTTTAAGTCCCAAGTGCCATCTTTGCTTTGGAAGGTCTCCATGAAGTATGAAAAGGACTTCAGATCCACTGCTCCAGAGGGACTAGTGCTTTTGCCCTACAGCTTCTGCCCTCTTCAGGGATTCACCAACTCTCATCCCTATTGCTACCAGGTGTTATCACCTTTAACAAGTAGAAAGAAAATATCACTTGAGTCAGGTGGTATTGACACTGGTCCAAGATAGGGGATAGGTTGAGCCTGGGGCAGAACCAGGAGGAGGGAGCCCAGCTGCCTGTAACTTCTGCAAGCACAATAGTAGGACATCACCTCATTTCTTCTTGCCAAAGTTGGCTGTAGGTGTAGGTGCAGGTGTGCCATGGCTGAGTCCTGCATTTGTCCCCTTTGAGAAGCCCCAAAGGCTGTCTCTACACTCAGTGGCAGGCACTGGAAGTGGCATAAAATCAGTTCCTGGGTTAACGAATTTGTCTTCTTAGATATTAATCCCAGTACTTATAAGTGGTCACAAAACCTGGTACAGAAAGCTTTAGAAGCTTTATAGATTAAGAAGTGTTTAGAAAAACTTCCCTTTTATTCATTAGGAGTGTTTAGGATGAACAGCTGCTCTCTCAAGATGTGATTCCTGAGGCCTGGACTGGCGGTGAAGGGTGTTTTCAGGAAGTCACATTCCAGGAGGGCTGCCCACTGGCCCTGCTTCTTGGATATGCAT